GATGGGGGCAGGGAGGGGCTGTGATGGAACCATGGTGGGGCCATGGAGGCGCTGTGGTGGAGCCATGGTGGAACCATGGTGCGGCCGTGGTGGGGCCATGCTGTGGTAAGAGGGATGGGGACTGTGAGGGCTCTTTCCTTTCAGACGTGGTCTCCTGCTTGCAGGGCTGCGCTGTCCAGCCCAGCTTCAGCTGGGCCTCACAAAGCTCCCCTTGCTCCCTGCTTCTCAAGCAGCTTCCATATATAACCCAGGTGCTGCTGGCACCATGGGGGGCAATTCTGGGGCAGGATCTGACGAATCCATCCAATACCTACTCTCATTTGAGTTGGGTCACCCTTCTGAGGTTGGAAAGTTGTAAGATGACCTCAGCAGCACACGCACTGTGAATGGAGAGCTTTGCGGTGACCAGCCCTGGTGCCAGCAGCACCGGCCAGCCCAGGCAGCTGCTGCAGGAGAGGGGACACAGGAGCAGGACAGTGTCATCGTCACAGGCCAGCTCAAGATGTACAACCAGGTTGTCCCCACGGGAAGGTGTTCCCAGCCACTCTCTGCTCTTTCTCCCACTCAGGGCAGTTCGATAAAATGAAGTCACCCTTCGAATGGGACATCGTGACGCGGGGGCTTGTTGCCATGACAATTGAAGGCTTCGTCGGCTTCTTCATCACCATCATGTGCCAGTACAGCGGGAGGGGGGAGGCTGGTGAGAAGCAGAGGGGAAGGGACCATGAGCCAGCACAGCCACCATGGGATGGAGCCGGGGAGGTTCATCCCCCGGGGAGCCCCGGCCTCCCTCCACCCCCAGCTCCTCACCATCCCGCTCTTGCGGCAGAGGAGATGCGGGGCATCGAGGAGGAGCCAACCCACCTCCCCCTGGTCGTCTGCATCGACAAGCTCACCAAGATCTACAAGACGGACAAGAAGCTGGCGCTGAACAAGCTGAGCCTCAACCTCTACGAGAACCAGGTGGTGTCCTTCCTGGGGCACAACGGCGCGGGCAAAACCACCACCATGTGAGTGCCCGTCGGGGCGGCTGTGGGCCGTGTCCTGCTGGCCAGCTGGGGTGGGTGGGGAAGGTGCTGTGCGGTGTTCTTGCAGGGCCCGGTGGCAGCTGGTGCCATGCCTGGAGGGTGGCACAAAAGAGGGACAGGCAGCGGGCGCGTGGCCCTGCATGGACATTGCTCTGCCTGGGGCCCAGCGGATGCCTCTGGAGGTGGTGGTTGGGATTGGAATCAGACAGAGGAATACGAGGTCCTTCACGTCGTTGCCTTTCTCCATATATCCAGGTCCATCCTCACCGGCTTGTTCCCTCCGACCTCGGGCTCTGCTACCATCTACAGCCATGATATTCGGACGGAGATGGACGAGATCCGGAAGAACCTGGGCATGTGTCCCCAGCACAACGTGCTCTTTGACAGGCTGACGGTGGAGGAGCACCTCTGGTTCTACTCGCAGCTCAAGAGCATGGCGGAGGAGGAGATCCGCAAGGAGATGGACAAGTAGGCACCCCCAGCTACTTTTGCCCCCCCCGTGCCTTTTGCGTGAGTGGGTCCCCTTCCTGCTGGCTGTGCTGTGCTGGGTGGCTGGGAGCAGAGATGTCCCCCGGAGCACCTCCACCCCAAAACTTGGGGTATCAGGCTGTGGAA